CCTGTGAGTTTACAATTGACTTTAGCTTTGAACGATTTTTGAAGGGTGGAGAGTAACTTTCAAAGTAAGTCTTATTGTATGATTCTGCAAAAGCCATCAAAAAGAAATGAAGAAAGTTGTCAGAATGCTGTGCAAAATGCTTGGAAGTTAAGGCTTGTGTAATTGTGATACGTACAGATGAATGAAATTTCTTTGCTAAAACATTGTAGTATAGGACTTTGGACTTTCTGAGTGCGAGATTTCAGTGATGCTGAGAATTGTAATTTTTTGCTAAACTGTTGGATTTCATTCTGTTTGCTCGGCGGTTCAGAACATTGACATTTTATTTGGGTCACTAGAAGGGTAAGGAAAGCTTTGTCTCCCGATTGGCCGGCTTTATGGACTGAATTGTGCTTGCAGTGTTTTATGAAGAATGGAATGAACGAGAGTAATCTGTTTTTGCCCGCTGCTACTGTGAGGTGTAGAATTATTGGCACAATGTCTAATAATGTCTATGCCCATTGCCAAGAGTTATAGAGAGGATTGAATTACGAAGGTATCATTTGTGGTTTAATGATAAGTGAAGAAAATAAAAATTTAGTCGTTTTATTTCAGCAGGCAAATAACAATTCTTGTACTTTCTTCTAATGTCAGCTTCGTGAGATCAAGAAATTTTAAATTTTATCATTTTTGATTGTATGCTTATAGAGGGGTTGTAAAAGAAGATCATAGAAAATTTGTTGAATTTTCTGTGTAGGGGGATATAAAGGTTTGTTTGTAAAAAAAAGTTGCAGTGAAAAGGCAGTAAAAAGCCATTGAAAAGCTGATGATCAACCGTAAGAATGCGGGAATAAAACACAAGAATGGCTGCTCAAAAGGGTACTATTTTTGTAGAATTGTAGGCAAAAACTGGAGCAAGGTTGATGAATGTTTAAGAAGTATTTTACGTTGGCATTACCAAAATGCTGACGGAACTTGTGCTACGAAAGATTTATAAGTACCTGGTGTCGTTTAAATGATAGATATACAGCGTAGATAAAAGTTGACCATTTAACTGATTGCCAGGCAGAGATTATCACCACCGTGGACCAAGTTTGCTATAAATTTTACAAAGACGATACTTTTTTGTACTGTACAAGTTTTTATTACCTTTATTTTGGTGTGTACTAAGAACTTGCGTAGTATGATGAACAATTGATGGGCATTTAAATTTTGAAAGAAATGTCAACAAAGAAAAATCAATTTTCAAAAAAAAAAAAAAAAAAAA